AAGATTACCTACCTGGTTGCAGAATTATCTGGGTCCCAGTAAAGTTGTAAAACTTGATTTTTTGCAATTTTGCGTCGTGTGCTGTTGTCAAAATTTTACCTCCTGTAAAGCTAGCTTTTCATGTGTACGCACCCTTTCGGATTATGGCCAAAATTTTATTCTCGAACCAAAGAAATCTTCTTTCTTTTTTACAAATGTGAAGCTCACATAGCCCACTTCATCATGCTTATACCAATTTTAGTACAGTTTTATTTTTATAATTTTTTTACATATCATTATACAGGGGTTAGCCATTTAACTAAAATATCACCCATGGCTACAACCCTCTACTGTATACTGCTACCCTATCATAGCATCATGAATGCCTAAACAGATTCAGTTTATAGTTACATGTTAGGATTGTAACATCATGTTCTACATCTGATATGGGTGGACATAAATCAAGGTTAAAGTATCAAGGGCTGCACCTGACCACTCTGGGGTTGGGGGAATGTATCTTTATTTTATTTACACTTCTCTTTCACAATCATGTAGATATGCATACATATACATAACTTACATGTTTAATAACAAAACATGTAAATCTGTTTTGATGCCTTTCTGTAGCATATTGGTGAATATTATCATTAATTCAATCAGAGAAATATGACTTTGTGTATTGTATTTCTCCACCACTCATGCTGTAAAAAATCAATGTTCATATATAAAGTGTATATTATATTGTGTATATCTGTAATTACCATTTTCCTAATAGAACTTAATACCACCAAGTTTGCTATTAAAAAAGATCATATATGCTCGTTGGATACACATTGATTTTCGTGTTAATACTAAAACACCTATTCTGCTGTACGAGTTAAATTATAGCTCTTACTGACCACCTCTTTCACCAGGAAATGTATCATTTCTGTATGTATCGTGTGTTTGATTCGTTACTCTACATTTTTGTTTCTATTATGTTACAGGATTACTGTGTGCAGAAGGGTCCATTGTGGTACCTGAAGGGAACACAGGGTGAATCCTGACAACAGCTCCCTCTAGTGCTGACTTCTAACAGTGTTGTTAAACTGCTGTAAAGCTAACTTTCCGGTAGAACTGTTTATTAGGGTGAAGCAATTGGACCATGTTCATTACAGGAGTTTATTTACTGTTAAGGATATATTATATCCAACATATCCGACACCTTGAATAATAGTAGAGTTATCTCCCTTACACGCACTGTCTAATTCAGAACTGCCTGAGGTGTTATCAATAAATGCTTTGTATCTTTAAATGTGTTGTCAGTTGATTTTCCAGAACCAAACAACTATTCATAAGGTGGTATATGTCCTTAATGTGTGTTAGGATGAAAAAAATGAGTAAGAGTGAATGATATCTTATAATATTGATCGATGTTTGGGGAAAGATTTGAATCTGTTTTGTTATTGCTACACCACAGTAAATTATATAATGATGATGTATGTTAGATTGAAAGATTTTATCAGTGTTGTGATAATTGATACAAGGTAATAAGGGTATTTGAATCGTGCTCTGAACTTTGTGAGATGTTCTATACTGGAATATAATTCTAATTCATCGCCACCAGTGGAATAAATTAGATATTTTATAGCATTATTTCAGGAACTTCAAGCATAGTCACAAATATTTAAGTTACAGATGTCTGCTCTAGCTACTGGTTGGAAATGTCTTCTTTAGCAGGTATATTCTTTTTGGTGATGTCTTCAGTATCAGTAACATGTATCTACTGATTGAAGATGTCATCTATAGCTGATATACTGGTTAGAAAACACAGATATGGTACCTATGTAACGTGAATGAAATATTGATAGATTATATGTTAACCTAATTGGTATTGTAACACATAATGTATAAGATAAAAACCCTATACCTGTTATTTCTTTTTACTTGTGATTTATGCAAGAACATGCATTATATCTGATAATTTTTATGAACTTGTAACAGTTGATTAAAACATTCTCAATGATATGTGTTTGTATGTTATAAGACTTGAGATACATCTCATAAAGTACTGCCAGAAATAAACACAATTTTGGTGCTAGCAGTCTTAGGCCAAGGGGATCAAAAGTTATACAAATAAAGACCGACACTGGTCCGAGGGGTGGAGTAAAAGGGATAAAATTGGCTGATTTGCTTTAAATGACATTTACTTCCGAACTACTTGACAGATTTCAACTAAACTGATGCACGCATGCTTCTTAGGGACTTACACAAATAAAGTTGCTGACTCTTAGCTGAGGGTTATAGTTAAGGGTTCAAATCGCATGATTTTGCCTTTAATTGCTGGGCAGAATATAATCAATTAAAAGAGATAACATCCTTAGCCCTTCGGCATCAGAAGTTATACAATTAAAGGTGCTGCTCTCCTAGGTGCTGAAGGTAAACTGGTTCAATTTAACTTTTTGCTTTAAATAAGAAAGTTAGTCTGTAGAGTAGCTTGCATTAATGCCTACAATAGGATAAAACGCCGCAGAATGTGTATACAAAATTGGATGCAAAAACTGTGGCACATCATATATTGGAGAGACTGGAAGGCTATTTGGGGTCCGCCTTGGTGAACACCGGAAAGACACCGAAACCCAAGTAGGTAGGAAATTCACCAGATCAGAAATGAAGCAGTCGGAGTCCCAGATAAATAAATCGGGAATCACAGACCATGCCTCACAGAAAAATCATGTGATTGACTGGGATAACTCCAAAGTTTTGGACAGAGAGAGCAATCTGTTCAAGCAGCAGAAAAAGGAAGCAATCTGGATACACTGCAGTGGGCCAGTTCTAAATCGGGATGAGGGGGCTCAAAGACTTGCACATCTATGACCAAGTATTAACAAAGCATAGCTGAATTGAGTCGTTTCGGTACATATATAACAACTATTGTACATACGCTTACAGGGTAGTCGAATCGACATCGGTTTTGTGGACAACTCGTACACATTTAACACCTTTGTGTGCATACGCTTCACTGGTCATTTGTCTGATGAAGGCGACAGTGTTCCTATCATACTAGTCATCGAAACGTCACATTATTGGCTGTGTAAAAAGAACGTTTCGTTATCTGACATTTCCAAGATATTTTGCTATTTCAGTAACATAATTCATGCATGATCTTTGACCTATGACCCCACGACCACTCAAGTAGTCAGTAGTTTGCATTAATGCCTACAATATTTCAATGTATATGTGTATACAATATACCTGTTTCCGAGATATTTAGCCATTTCAGTAACAGAATTTGTTTGTGACCTTTGACCTCTGACCCCACAATCTCAGGAGTTTGTCAGTAGAGTAGCTAGCAATAATGCCTACAATATTCCTATGTATATGTGTATACAAAATACCTGCCGTTTCAGAATAATAAGCCATTTCTGTAACATAATTTGTGCCACCTTTGACCTCTGACCCCAAGATCTAGGGAGTTTGTCAGTAGATTAGCTTGCAATAATGTCTACAACATTCCAATGTATACAAAATACCTGCAATTTCCAAGATAATTAGCTATTTCAGTAATAGTAATTCATTCACGACCTCTGACCCTCAACCTCAGAACATTGTCAGTAGAATCATTAATGCCTACAACATTCCAATGTATATATACCTACTGTTTCCGAGATAATTAGCCATTTCAGTAATGTAATGTACCGTCTACAAAAGTCGAGGGCCATTACTGGTAAATATTGAAGGAACATTATGGCGTTCTGAGAGACAAGTTCATTTGAGGGAAAACATGTGTGCAAAGTTACATCAAAATGCGAGCTTAAACCTAGGAGTAGGAGGTACAATATTTTGTCTACAGATGGACGGACAGAGAAATAGTGATTCCAGTATATCCCCCCTAACTTTCATGCAGGGGATATAAAAATGACAAGGCAAACTATCAAAATAAACTCGAAATATTTTAATATAGCACTTGACCACCATGGTAATTAACAGTTATCTTATTTTCACAGAAAACATTAATATGAACATGATTTATAAGGGTAATAGATTCCATACAGTTAATAATGCAATTCTACTCCTTAACGACGCATGGACATGCACTTCATTTGAGGAAATGTCTTCCAAACATTTCATTAATACATTCAGAACACAGCTCTTTAAATGAATTTAATTAAAGGAGAATTGTACATTGGAACAAGCAATGACCCAACAAAATTGTCAGTATACCAGGGAGTTTTCAATTTTCACCATACATTTGAATATATCCTAAATAAGATGTACTTGGTCCTGATATAATAATTGATTTACAACATGATTAATAACCTTTTTTAGATTGTTGTGTAAAAGTTAAATTGCTCACACTTCACAATGTGGACCTCTTACAAAGAGACTTTGGAGTTTGGAAAGATTTGGTGAATGATCAACTACTCTTGTCATAGAAAACTGCACATGCATAAAACTTGCAAGAAGTAAAAAAAAAATCAACAAAAAAATCTGATAATTTCATCTATTTTGGTGCCTAGATTGCATAGTCATCTATGTTTGATGTAAGACCTATAGCATGTACCTCATTAATGTACCAAATATAAGACTAATTCATAGCACTTTAGCATATCATCTACCTTACATGAAACTTGTATCATAGTGCTTCATTACTTCAGTCTACAAAACATACATGTAAGCCTTGAATTGAATGCATGATAATTAAATTACAAGGCAACAACAGTATACAAACATAGTTTCTTATACACGTATTTATATATTGGTGGGGATTATCTTCCAACATAACTACAAGTTCCTGGTATATTTTCAAAAACTTTAAATATCCGTGCCTTAATATATCACAGACTTTCTGTAAGTCTGCCTCAACTGAATTTTGAGCTTAATTTTCAATACATTCAAACTATGTCACAGTACAAATCTAAGCTTAGATGCAAAAGTGTTTGTGATAGAAGGTGTTCAAATCTAACACAGACTCAAAAGTGTTTGTGATAGTCAGGGTCAAAATTTAAGCTTAGACTCAAACGTGTTTTATACATTTTTTTGGGGTGCAAATCAATGTGACAGTGCCCTTTTCATACGGATATGGATATAACAAAGTATTAAAGCCACTAGGAGTATTGCATATGATTCAGTAAATTAATTTTGACACAAACAAGCTGATGCAATATACTATCAATATAATTTCCCATGCCACAGAATAGGAAATCTCGTAGGATATCCATGACCAGTGTGAGTATCTCATGTCAGTGATGACATCAGTGTTTGATGCCAAAGCTGGATTTTGTTTTCAAATGCCGATTGCTCTGGATAGAAATATCTCTGTTTTTCAGATCATTTATTCTTGTCTGATAAAAAGTTCACTTTTAGAAACATGAGAAAAAAAATCACATACTGTTGCTTAAGAACTACGTCTATCTCAGTATGATATTTTGCAAAACCGAACATTCAGCTTTACCTCGTCTGGGATTCAAAGAAAATATCATCCCTTGATTGAGAGTAAGTTATCTAGGGAATCTGATGTACAGCAATATCAACATCATTGTTTCCTCTAACAATCTAGACATTGAAAATGTATTTGAAATATTAGAAAATAAAGTATACATATTGTTTAACTGTTTTAGTATTTAAGAGTTACAATGAATCTAGATACTGAAATTGTCTACCATGTGTACATTTCAAGTAACTGCTGAGCCAGGGTAACAATGACAAAGACTTTATAATGAGAACACAACAACCAAGGAAGCTGTTAACTGTGGAATCCGGGTTTGACCTAACGTGCCTCAGAGGGCGACCCCTGACCTCACCCCCACCATCCATCACTAGTACTGTAGTCTGGCTGTACCCACAACCAATCATCACTTGCTTATTTAAATATGAAATAAGTCTATTCATAGAAACATCAGGATTTCTTCTTGGTTACTGCTTCTTTTGCTGAAATACATAGAACAAATACTGTTTTAAAACCCAAAAAAACATATATGTAGTATTAAATCATGTGTGTTACCAAAAACACAATATGAACTATGAATAAACATTTGAAGAAGAGTGACCTTCAATTATTACTATCGACTTGATTATTATAACTTGAGCAACCAATAAAGGATTGGAGTTGTTCAGCAGATAATACAAGACTAGAATTGTTTGGCAGATAATAACGGATTTGAGTTGTTGAGCAAATACAGGACTGGAGTTGTTTAGCAGATAATACAGGACTAGATTTGTAGAGAAGATATTACAAGATTTGAGTTGTTGAGCAGATATTAAAGGACTAGGGTTATCTAGAAGAAAATAAAAGAGTAGATAATACAGGATTTTAGTTGTTGAGTAGATAATGCGGGACAAGATTTGTTGAAAAGATAATTCAAGACTAGAGTTGTTGAACAGATAATACAGGATTTGAGTTGTTGAGCTGATAATTCAGGATTTGAGTTGTTGAGAAGATAAAAGTGGACTTAAATTATTGAGCAGATAATACAGAATTTGAGTTGAGTAGATAAAAGAATACTTGAGTTGTTGAGTAGATAATACAGGATTTGAGTCGTTGAGGTGATCATACAGGATTTGAGTTGTTGAGTAGATAAAAGAATACTTGAGTTGTTGAGTAGATAATACAGGATTTGAGTTGTTGAGCTGATAATACAGGATTTGAGTTGAGTAGATAATACAGGATTTGAGTTGTTGATTAGATAAACGAATACTTGAGTTGTTGAGTTGATAATACAGGATTTGGGTTGTTGAGCTGATAATACAGGACTAGAATTGTTTAGTAGATAATAGAACACTTGAGGTGTTGAACAGATAATACAGGTTTTAAGTTGCTGAGCAGATAATACAGGATTTAAGTTGCTGAGCAGATACTTAAGGAATGGAAATGTGATGCTGATACTAAGGAAAGGAGTTCAGGACTAGTTGTTGAGCAGATATTCATATAATTAAGTACTGGAGATGATAAGGAGACAATTGTTGATGCGAGTTTCTAGTGAATAATTAAGAAATGGGAGTTTTGATGCTGGTACTAAAAAATAGAGTTGTGGTTCTGAAGATTAAGCAGTGGTGTAGCAGTTGATAACAAAACATTCTCAATCTCTAGGTTACTGTAATGTCTAACTACCTTTGTGGTCCACCTTTCTCAATCTCTAGGTTACTGTAATGTCTAACTACCTTTGTTATCCATCTTTCTCAATCTCTAGGTTACTGTAATATCTAACCACCATTGTGATCCATTTTTCTCAATCTCTAGGTTACTGTAATGTCTAACTTACCTTTGTGATCCATCTTTCTCAATCTCTAGGTTACTGTAATATCTAACTACCATTGTGATCCATTTTTCTCAATCTCTAGGTTACTGTAATGTCTAACTTCCTTTGTGG